CCACAATATTCAAACCCTCCCTAGTATCTTCTTTTCATATGATGACAAGAGAATTTTTTTTTAAAACAGCACGCGCTCTGCTTAATTTTTGATATTAATGTTATGATGGGTGTGGGTGTGGGTGTGGGTGTGGTGTGAGGATGTGGGTGTCGATAGATAGGTAAACAGAAGAGATATCTACACTCATACCCTCAAGATGGTTGTTAGTACAAATATTAGCAAACCTATTATATAAATCTAAGCTTGTGTTTTTCTTTTTTTTAATACGCTTTTCTTATAGTTATGATACTGTCAACATGAATAGAATTCAGAACATTAGAATAGTGACACCTTTGTTAGTTCCCATAATTATTATTAATGGCATAAAATGATTTTACAAATACTTTTTATTTGAGAAGCATGATATTTGTTCAAGTACTATATGACATCAAATTTCATCGTCTATCGTTATCTTTTTGAGATGAAAGAAAAAAGAGGCAGAAAGCTTTAGATTATTTTATAAAAATTTTATGCACGAATAATCATTTTCATGTTAAAAAAAGACACGTGACTCTCAAGGATCCGTCAGAATTTAGTTTTCCATTTATATCAAACTTCAGAAAAAAAAATTTCTACAAATCTTTTAGAGAATCAAACTATGAAAATACGATTGATTTTCGGTAATTGTAAATGAGAATGTTTTAGATAAGAACTTATTTGATATTACACGATGTAGAGAAGTAAAGTGTCATTTTATTCTTATGAATTTACAAATCCATTAGTAATTGTATTCCATGCATGAGACAATCTAGATAATCTATAGAAAATCATTTCAGCAAAAAAAATACTCATAAGTTTTTTTTTATCGCGTCGACATTTTTTTTAATTGGTTCTTTAATGAAAAATAATAATAGAAATAGAGTGCTAGCTTCGATAATGACGGGTAATTATTTTATCTATATATAACTAGTAATAAAAAAAAATTTTCTTTTTATCTAACACAATACTTGAATTATCATTTTAAAAGCAGAGAAACTGTAAAACGTCGTGAAGATGAGATCCACTGCTGATGATGATATCAATTCCTACTATACAAGAATTACTGTTCTTTTATATACTATAGTTGGTTCTATACTCACAATCATAGGTAGTATAGGTGCCATTTTGTGCTGTATTGTGTTTGCTCGAAAAACAATGCGCAGAAATCCAAGATCTATTTATTTCATCGCATATAATGTTGCCAATTTCTTCGACATAATACTGACTTTATTGCCACTAGTTTTAGCGTATATAACTGGGTTTGATCTCACATTGTATACGTCATCTTCTTGCAAAATAATGTTTTATCTTAATTTCGCATGTCCTGTTTTATCACGATATTATCTTATTTTGGCTTCGATCGATCGAACTCTGATTACATCTAGCAATGCATTGACAAGACAACGAAGCAATCATCGTTATGCCTACTGGTCTATTACTGGAGTGACAGTTATTAGCATATTATTTTGTAGTCATTTGCTTGTAGGTACTAATATTTATCAAATTTATCCAGGCTTCTATTTATGTTACTATCAACCAGGTAGCTATAAAGCATTTACTGTCTACAGTAACTTTGTTATCATTGGTATCATTCCGTGGGTTCTTTTGAGTGTGTTTGCTATATTGACATTGAAAAATCTTCATCGAATACGCATCCAACCGGTAAATACTGTTCCAATTACAACAAACACTCATCGATCAAAAGATCGTCAGCTGGCTATCATGCTTCTATCTGAAATATTTATCTTTATTATCTTCAATTCGGCAACGCCTATTTTTGACATATACAGGCAGATTACAGAATATCAAACTAAAACAGTTAAACAAACCGCTATTGAAACATTTCTTTTATATGCATTTTATCTTTCAACTTTTATAACTCCAGTTACCAGTTTCTACATAAACTTAATTGTATCAAAAACTTTTCGTCAGAAAACAATTGAAGTATTCTGTACACGGCATCAACATCGACATCAGTCAAATAATGATACTCAAAATCAAAATCCTATAGCAAATGCCATTGTCAAACGTGCAACTATTCATTAGAAAAACCATCTTGAGAGTAAAGATACGAAGAGCTTCGGACTTTGTTGTAATCTTATTTTCCATTAATTTTCAAATAAAAGCCTTCTAATAATAAATACGTAAATTATATTGAATAAGTCTATTCATTCATCATTAAATGTCATATATGACAGTCAATGACTCTTTTAATACCGATCGTATATTTGAATCAAATTAAAATGTTCAGTACAAATATTAACAAATCTATTATATAAATCTAATCGTGTGTTTTTCTTTTTTGTAATACGCTTTTTGTTATAGTTGTGATACTGTCAACATAAATAGAATTCAGAATATAAGAACAGTGGCATCTTTGTTAATTCTCATAATTATTATTAATGACATAAAACGATATTACACATACTTTTTATTTGAGAAGCCTAATATTTGTTCAAGGACGATATGACATCAAATTTCATAGTCTATCTTTGTCTCTATGAGATGAAAGAACAGAACGGCAAAAAGCTATATATTATTTTATAAAAAATTTATGCACGATTAATCATTTTCATCTCAGAGATGTATGAATTAGTTATTCTATATTTGTCTTTTTCATTTGTAGGGTGTGAGTGTAGATATAGATCAAGAGAATATAGACATTCGTATCCACAGTCACCCACCTAAACTCACACCCACATCCACATCCTTGGCTTTTTTTATTGACTTTTTCTTAATTAAAGAATGTTTCGAGGGTAAAGAAGATACCAAGAGCTTTGGACTTTGCTGTAATCTTATTTTTCATTGATTCATAAATAGAGGCCTTGTAATAATAAATAAGTAGCTTATATTGAATAAATCTATTCATTCATCATTAAATGTCATATATGACAGTAAATGACTTTTTTAATACTGATACTATATTTAAATCAAATTAAAACGTTAGTATCGTTTATTAATAAAATCTTCTGTTCTAAATAAATTCATTTTTGATGAATATATGATGACAGTTTAAGGATTAATGATGCTTGGCGTGATACTATGATTTTGAAATCGTTTCATATAATATCTTTTTTACCGCGTACTACATGTAATTAATATTGAAATATTGTCTCACTATTATTCATACAAACTTTAGAGAAATATCGATTATTTGCTATATGTTTAATTGAATTTTAGTCTATTTTAACATCATACAGACATTCTTTATTGAGAAGTCTAATAAAGTTTAGACGAATAAAATCGCATATAAACACGCTCGGAAATATGATTACGCCTCAATGCACCAAATGTTTTTCAGGAACTTGTTGTGACGCACATCATCTTTTTTCTGAGTAGGTTTAGATGCGTCGTAAAAGTGTCTTTAACCGCTAATAATAGAGTATACTTTTACATGGAATATTAAATTATTTTTAGAATGGGTGCAAGCGCAAGTTTTTCTTTCATATAAAATATGGATTACTTTAAGCTCATTAGATACCATATATTTATTAAAGAATTTATTTTTTATATCATTAGAGACATTAACGCATTTTAAACAGTATTTATTTAAATCATGCTTAACAATATTGCATTTGTACTCAATTTGATTACACTTATTATTAGTATATTTGCATGTTTGATTTCATTTATTATCTTTATTCATATCATCTATTATCTCTCTCATAATCGTATGAAACCAGAAGATAGAGTAACTATTATTCAGTGTGCAAACATTTATCCACTTATCTTCTGTTTTACGGGAATATTAGTTGCATTTAGTATTCAATCAGTACTAGGAGATTTGTATAAAAAGGAGTCAAGCGCATCATCATGGTGTATTTCCACGGCATTTATGTTTCCTGTTTTTTGCACTACGTTATACTGGGGTTTTGTCAATCAGGTAATCATGAATTAAAATATATTATCAATTTAACAAATATTTCTCTTTAGGCTATATTTCGTCTTTGTCGAATTGTGTATTCAACTCATAGGTGGCTTCAACATTTTTGGTTATATATTATTATACCTCCCATTGAATTTATTTTAAGTTGTGCATTGTTGTGTCCACTCCTTTTCTGGCATCATATTGTTTATTTACCACAAGAATACTATTGTTATGTACCATACACAAATATTCTTGGCATTCTTTGGGTAATATTAAATGCTTATGGAAATCCTTTTTTATTATTACTGGTTATCTATTTACGCATTACAATATTTCTTCGTCGACAACCTATTAATCAAACACGTGTAGTTAAAAAACGACAAGAACGAGATTTACTTGTGATACGACGTATTTTTATAGCTGTCGGTCTACTATTAACTCTTGGGATGCCATCTGTAATTCTCTTAGTAATGTACCTAATCACAGGTGAAAAGAGTCCTCTTTTTTTCCGTATTGAATGGCTTTCGGTTAGTGTATCGATGATAGGATTAAGTGTCGTGTTAGTTTTTTTTACCCCACAATTAAAAAGTATTATTTTGAAAAAATATCAACGTAATCAAGTAACACCTCCGGATGGTCCATTAGCAGGCTCAGTTCAAATAAGATATATTACAACCACGCGTTAAATAACTATATAACAATATAAACTGTATTTTTGTTGTGTCGTATATTTTAATGTTGATGATTTAATTAGTTTTTTTTTCATATCGTATCGGTGTTGTGGAAAAAATAAATCTCTTCTTGTTTTAAGTATGCTTACAAGCAAAAGCTCACTATATCAAAAATAAATCGAAATTGAGGGTATAGGTGGATGTGAGAAAGAGTGTTTCAAACATCTATACACACACACATACTCTAATTGGATGAAGTTGAAACAACGCTGCGTAACAAGGGGTGTGGATCACATTAAGACTTGAATACCATCTACACACACCTACACCCATACCCTTCATGCATTGTAAATGAGTCTTCTATTATATCGTTTAAAAAAAGTTAATTGTTCGAAATATTCTCAGTAGTAGTTTTCCGGTCAATATATCGTCGACAAGTGACTTTATTTGATTGTTTTTCGATCTTTTATGGTAGAATTATATCCATATAATCGTAACCATTCAATTTCTTCTCGCACTTTAATTTTTCCATGCCAAGGATTCTTATATAAAACATGTTCTTCATTTGGAAGCAGTAATAACTTGACTGGTATTCCAAGAAAACGAAATGCTCTCTCTAACATTAAACTTTGGCTAAAAGGTACTCGTATGTCAATGTCGCCAGCAACGATATGTGTCGGTGTACGAACTTGATCAAAATAATAAATAGGTGATTGACTCTGGTATGTTTCTGGTATTTCCCATGGAAAACCTCCAAATAGCTCACCAATATAAATAGGCATATCTGTCATACCCCAAAAAGAAACTTGTTCGATCGAACCAGCACCAGATAGAGCAGCATTAAAACGATTCGTTTGAGTAATAATCCAATTGGTAAGAATCCCACCGTAACTGTATCCACCAATTGTCAATTTAGTTTTATCAACAATGCCATCGCTTATGAGATGATCAATGCCTGAAAGAATATCTTTTTGTGGACGTATCAATGCTTGATATCGTATTTCATCAGTAAATTGATCACCATAACCAGTTGAACCACGATAGTTCAGTTCAAATACTAGCCAACCTTATGCTGCAGCCATTGGAGCCCAATTGTACCAATCACCTAGAAAACAATTCAAACTTGCACTACCCGGACCACCATGAATAAGAACAAGTAGAGGTAAATTTTTCTGTTGAAATTTTCTAGGTGGATAATGTAAAATTCCTTCAATTGTTTGATTATCTTCATTATTTTCCCATCGATAAACTTGACATTCAGGAAGATTAATTTGATCATACTCATTATTTTCGTTAGTAATCGGTACGGCTGATTTTAATTGATTAATATCTGTTATAAAATACGCTTCTTCTGCTTTTGTAAACGATGTAAAAACAAAAGCAATCGAATTGACTAATGTTGTTGATGATGATATCAATGGATATGATCCATTCCATCCATTATGTAAAATTGATTTATTTTTAGGAGTTATTTGAGAATAGATTTGAACAGTAATTCCCAATTGACCAAGAATATAAACACCTCCATCTGATTTTATTGTATAACTAATAACATTTCCTTGAAAATCAGCAACCCAACGTTCAATTGAACCGTTTATTAAATCGATGGAATACAGTCGTTGTTGTGTCAAATTGGCTCTTTCATTCATTGAACCAGTAGGAACAGTTACGAAGAGAACTTTTTTTTTGTCCAATGATAATTGTAGATTTTGTTTTAAAGGAGAATCATTTGTTAATTTAATAATTGAAGAAACATTTTTTAAATCCATCGAATATATTTGAAGAATATCTATATTATCCACAATATACGACCTAGTACTAAAAATCAATTTTTCTTCAATTGAACTATATAAAAGTTCACCAATTAGAAAAGGAACATTAGCAATATCTGTTATTAACATTGTATCAATATTAATATGACGAATTATACAAGTTGGATTTAATGGATATTGAATAATATCATTCCATTTTAAATTATCTGTTGAATTTAAATTAATTGTAGCATAATAAAGAGATGAATCGTCTTGTGACCAAGTTATAGCTATAGGAATATCATTTCCAAGAGAAATTGATTTTATTTCATCGTTTTCAATTGAATATAAATAAATATTTTGTTCAACATTTAAATCAGTTTTCGATAAATATCGAAACTTTAAATTATTTACTGCAGAATTATTTTTCAATAAGAAGAAAAACCATTTTCCACTTGGTGACCATGTATATTTAATATCTGCAAATAATTTATTTGTAATCAATTTTTTTTGACGTTCAATAGTTTGATATAACCATAAATTACTTTCGAATGAATTCGAATTCCATAATGGACGTCGAGTATTAATAAGTAAATATTCACCATTTGGTGATAAACTTAATGAATCAAAATTTGTATAATTAAAAAAACTATCTAATGTTAAATTTGATTTTGTTTTAACCGTACAAAATAAAATTGATAATGAAAATAAAATTAAAAATAAATTCATTCTAATTATATTCTTCTAACAATTCGTGTTCTTAATTGTAAAGACAAGTACAGATGTAATAGATGTCGAAGTAACTAAATTCTTACGTTAATGAATTGTTTGTTTCTATATTATAATAATCAAATGTTAATATTCGTTGTAAAAGCAGCACATCCAAACGCAAAAACTGTTCGTTTATCATCTCGATCTTCTTTGTAAGTAGAATATTTATATTAATACTGAAAGATAAGATCTATTTGTTTTACATACCTGTAAAAAGTGTTCGTAAGATTTTTTATCGAGTTAGATTGTGAAATTATTGACAAGTGCAAATTTACTTCTCATCTTTAGCAAAGCCGTATATTCTAGATATATTTTTATTCAATTGAAAATTCCTTCTACAATAGTCATCTGATATAACATATCTTGAGGGTGTGGGTGTGGACAATCTCTCCTCATTCACCCACACCCACCCGTTCATATGAAACGATCAGACTAAAAAAGTAACCGAAATATATTATATTTTTATATTTTCTCGCACAAATACGATATGTTTTACAAATCAGTACATCGTTTCTGTTCACTTTGAATTCATTCAAATCAACTATTACTCGTATGACTTTATTGGATTTGTCATATTAATATTGCATTGATATTAATGATTTCTCAGTTCTTGTTTATTTTCAATAAAATACGAACAATTAGTAATTACATTTTATTAATAATCTTGATATGTTTCAAGGTCTTGTAGAGACGATCAATATGAATGTAAAAAGTCAGAAAAATGCAATTATTTATTTAAGGACAATGCATCTAAACAATATCGACAATATTTCAAATTAGACGTTCAATCATCCGAAATACTCAGAAGCGTCGCTGGACTATGATTAACCATCGTTGGAAGGTCATGAGACACTCGTTTCGGAATGCTTTCGAGACCAATGTAAACAAGATGAATGTAATCTAGAAATAAAGAACAAAAAACTCGACTTTAGTTTTAGACAAAAAAACAAACATACCGCTGTGTACGTAAATAGGAGATTGAAGCCAAGTCTACCGAGAAACAAGATCATTAGTTGTTGATTGATAGTTAACGGACCTTGATTAGTTGTCAAGAATCCGTAGAGAGGAAAAATTGACTCGATATAATTGGGAAGCAAGTAGACAATGACTTGAAGGAGAGACAATCGAACAAACTGCATATTTCGTTTGAACAGTTGCTGTGCAGTCTGTGCATTTGGCATGATCGTTTGTTGTGTTTCAATATGAATCGAAATATTTGTTGCTATTGGATGAATCTGACGATTAACCCGGGAATGTAGATTGAACACAGTCAAAACACTAAATACACTGATAACAACCATTGTTCCCATTGAAATAACAATACTTTCAATTGAGACAAAAAATGCATAATTAGAACCCAATGGTGCTGTACAATCAAGTGCAGTAGGTTGATACCCAATAGGTGCATGCAAACTAAATATTGCCCAGAAGATTACACCAGTCATAATCAACCATTGAGAGAGGCGAATTGAGCTCTGCTGACGAAGTCTAGCGCTAGATGAAGTGATCATCCATCGATCGATTGAAACCAAACAAAGAAAATATCGAGCAAGATTAAAACTCAATTCAAAGCCATATGCACGAAACTTGCAAAGACTAGAAATGTATTGAAAAACATTGTTACCAGTTGAAGTGATAATTATACGAGAAAGACACACTAAATCAAGCAGAATAAGATGAGTGAGAGAGAGACAAATAAAATACCACGAACAAACATTTTTTCGTAGGTCACGTCGTCCAAATATCAGAATATTGGCTACGTTGCCAAAATTACCAAGAACAAGAATAATTGGTTCTTCATATCGAATAATTTGTACCTGAATTTGACTAATTTGCTTCAAAACTGAGAGATCTATTCTCGATTTTAATACACAATGAGAGTTCTTTCTTCTATCATGTACGTACGTTCATAAATAGTCATCTGATGATGATCATCGAAGAAGAAGATGTTGACTTGACAGCATTTTCTTCTTTTATGAAAAACGTATTAACTACTTGGTGAGAAAATCTGTAAGGGACATAATAATGAATTATTAATGAATAGAAGAATGTTTGACGAACATCTCTTTCTGTTTATGATCGGATAATTAGATGAAGTAACATAAAAATATCCGGCTCATATAGAAAGATTCTGTGATAGACAAACCACTACATAACCCTGATGAAACGTAATGATAGATAATATTGTTTGACAAATTTATTTTAAAATATTCATGAAAAAATAAAGAAAAGGGGAAAATAATTATTGTTCAATAATGGTAATCTTGGTTTAATTTGAGTTTTGTATACGGAAATTTCTCTGAAGTAATTCATCGATCAGTTGTTTGATCTCTTTGCTAATAGGATTCCGTGAAAGATCGAGTGTGATGATTCGCTATAGAGAAAACGAACATAAATATACTATGAATAAAGAAAACTAACGATTACTGTATTATTTTGTAAGGTATTAGCCAAGTCTTGTGCTCCGGCTTCCTCAATATCATTTCCAGAAAGATCGAGTATACTTAATGACTAGATGAAAAACGTATTTTGAAAAAGATACATACGATGGATAAATGAACAATAATATTACCGTGTTATATAGTAATGCATCAGCTATAAGCTTTGCTCCTTTGTTCCATATTAAATTGCATGAAAGATTGAGTGTAGTAAGTACCTGTATTGAGAGTGAAATAAAACGTAAGAGAGGTTGAATGAAAATTAAATTTACTGTAATATGAGGTAATGCATCAGCTACAAACTGTGCTCCTTTTGCGCCAAAATTGTTTCCCCTAAGATCAAGTGTTGTCAGTGTCTGTATATAAAAACAAATTTCATATAAAATAGATAAAGAATAAATACTACGAACATTATTTCGTGTTAATGCATCAACAAGAAATTGTACTCCTGCAGCCCCCAAACTATTTCCGCTAAGATCCAATGTAATAAGCGACTGAATGAAAAAAAAATAAAGATGATGATAATACGGAAGAAATATGAGAAGAATGAATATTACTTTATTATTTTCTAATACGTTTGCGAGTTGTTTTGCGTCATTATCTCCAATTGAATTAAATCGAAGATCAAGTGTAGTGAGCGTCTAAATATAAATTCATGGTACATATGATTAGAATGAAGACGCAATGAAATTCACCGTATTATATTGTAATCCATTGGCCAGATATTGCAATGCTTCATTCATAATTTGATTTAATGGAAGATGAAGTGTAAGAAGTGTCTGAATGAAAAATAAAACATGAACATGAAAAAAAGAATAGAATATATTCACTAAGTTAGTTTGTAATGTCACAGCTAAATACTGTGCTCCGACTGTTCCGATTTCATTGTTTCCAATGTGAAGTGTAGTAAGTGTCTGTACAAAAGAGCAGTGAGTTAGTAAGAGAATCAAAGAAATATAAATGGTCATAGCCACCGTATTATTTTGTAGTGCATAAGTTAGTTGTTCTAGTCCACTGTCTCCGATATGAGTCTCTTGAAGATTGAGTGTGTTAAGTGTCTACATTCGAAAATAATAATAGATTTTGAAAATATGATAGACGTCGCAGTTACCACATCATTTAATAACACATCAGCTAAATCTTGTGCTCCTTGCTCTCCGATAGGATATCCTGTAAGGTCCAACACCGTAAGTGTCTATGTAAAAACAATGCAAGAAAATGATGCATATAAGATCAATGCAAAAAAATTAATTAAATTCATACCTCTGTTGCAATAATATCACCACTTCCATTTGTTCGATGCTTGATGAGACGGCAAACACTATTCATTGGCAAAGCCTCACATCTGACTAAAATCTCGCAATCATTCATACAAATTGGTTTAGTGTAAAGGATGATTTGAGATGTTTTTACAACATGATCACAAGTAGCAAACCAATGTTTATCATTTATCCAGAATGGTGTTCTGAATGTAGCAATGATTGAGTTGACACTATGAACAGGAAGATTTCTTTGAACAGGATACACAAAGAAAAATTCAAATTTATTTAATTGTGTTAATCGAATTTGAATAAATTGTTCCCAAAAAGAACCATCAAAGACAGGTCCATACACTTTTCTAGGAGATATCAATTTGAGATTAACAAGGGCAGGTGTTAATAAAAGAAACAATCTTAAATATTCAATCGGTAACTGACAATTATATATGGTCAAAGATTTTAATTGGTGATATGTTCTGTCAATTGCTGACGATCTAACAGTTTCATCATTGTCATTATTATCACAATATTCTACTTCGAACGTTTGTAAATTAGGTAAACTATGGAGAATATTTCGATATTGGTAATAAGTACAAATATGAACCGCTAGATGTTTCAATACGTGTTGTACTGGTCTGAATATATGTTCAACTAGATAATCGAGATTACTGAGACGTAATGGGAAAAGATTGTGCTGATCGATAATTTTCGAAAGAATAGTAAGTTTTTGTCTGCTTTGTGCATTAGTTTGACCAAAACTTAACGATTTCAGTCCATTAAATCGTCGAATGTCGAAGATTGAGAGAAATAAATGAATTTCATCTAATCTCTTTGTATCGGCATCAGAAAAAGTAATTGAACTAATGTGATCGGGTGGAATGAAACGCGTAATAAATTTCACGTCGGACTGTGACATTGAACTAAAGTTGAGTTTACATCTGTTATAACTAATGATGACATCGTATAATTTTGTACACACAAAACGAAGTAAACGAATAGTGTTAATATCGAGATGATCAAAAATGCGATGAAGAAGTTCGACGGGTAGTTTGCAAAGATATATGTTTGCCATAAACATAGTTTTATCCAAGTATCTCAATTGAAATGAATTTGTTATAATATACGTCAATTCTAAAGTAATTTTCATATCAATCAAAAAAATATTCGTTGTTAGAAGGAGAAAAAAACAACGTCACATGTTTTTTCTTCATAGTTGAGTATAATATAACGTAAAAAAATCACGTTTCTTCGAGAGAACCAACCTCAATAGAGAAAATTTTTTTCTATTCTGACTCGACAGAACGACAAAATGAAGTAAAACTTATCTAATAGCGTGCTGCCCGTTGTTTATTAATTTTTTGAATTTCAGATAAACGAATAATTCGATCAATTCAAAATCGCCTTGAGGGTATGGGTGTGAGGAGAAAGTAATGCTCACATCTTCACCTCACATTCATCATGTAGACAAACGAACTAAAGCGTCACTACGTTAAAATATAAAAAAATTAGTTAAAAATGATTGTTTGCAATTTTAGAATATTCGAATTCTTCTGATAATACTTACTCATTTCTTATCTTACAGGATTGATAGGGAACACATCGGCTTGGTCTTTTTTTTCTTTCGTTCCTTTTTATATATTATATTATATTAAATACAGACTGAGTAAAAAGAGAAAAAGAAAAAAAAACACGTGTATTTCAAACTTATATTTTGTTCTTTGAATGTAATTATAAAAGATGACTTCTAACTTCATAATACGGCGTGCTACCATCGAAAATGCTCCTCAGCTTTCACTTCTTGGAAGAAAAACATTTTACGAAACTTATACAAATGAACTCAGCATCGATCTTGATTCTCAACGAATAGAAGAGTATGTAGAACGAGAACATTCAGCTCAAGCTTATTGTGAGACGATTAACGATCCATTGCAAGGTGTTTGGATTGTTTTCAATGAAAATGGAAACAAGGAAGAACCAATTGCGTATGCTGTTGCAACACGATTCAATCTATTGCCGGACTACTCTTCTAATCCAAATGACTTTGGAATAAAACGCATCTACGTCAGACGCGACCATCAAGGTAAACAAATTGGATGGAAACTAATGACTGAAATCATAATTTGGTTCAAAACTGTTACACCTCAACCGAATCGTATTCTTCTTAGGGTACATTCTAAGAATTTAAAGGCAATTCGTTTCTATGAAAAATATGGATTTAAACAACTTGATGAACAAAGTTTAAGATTAGGCGAAAGAATTTATAATATTTTCTCTTACGATCTGTCTCATCGCTCAGGACAATAACGTTTTTTTTCTAACATAAATTTCTCAAAAAAACTGTTCTTGATGATGGGGTTGTAGATCTCGATGAAAAGAGTAATTAAACCCACATCCTAGTCTATGTTGACTCCAAATGTTGTTCAGTATGTAATGTTTATTAGTCGAATCATTAAAAAAAGCACATTGAGCAATATTGAGATGTGTTAGATGTAGTAAATAATTCCATTCAGTCATAATTTCTTTAATTTTCTGATCGAAATGAAGAGCAATAACTCGATCGACAATTAATGGTACGTATTGTTGAAAAATGATGTCGAAATCATGCTTAGATATCAAACAAAAATCAAGACGACCAGATGCTTGAAAATGTTTCACGAGAAGATTTCTTTTAGTATCAATGCGAGGAAGTAATGATATCTGTGCATCAAACTACTTTTGGCTGTTTAAAGCTCTGATAGAGCATTGACTACACAACAATCGTATATTATGAATATGACGTTTTCTTCTCATAAATCTGTAATAAAAAACGAATTCTGATATTTATTGTAGCCTTTCATATACATACTATGTTGAGAATGTGAGTAGATATCGATATTATGGTCATCTCACCTCGAAATCTTCATTCATAAAGACTATACAAAATATCGTAAATGTAAACACTTTTCATTTATTTATTTTAAAGAATAAATGAAGTATGTGTGCAGATAATCGACGATGGACGTGAGCAAGTATAGAATACATCAAAATCCTCACACACATACACACACACGTCTAAACGCTACGAACACGTCCATTTTGAGACGTGCATATCAAAGAGTTAATAAAAAGAAAGAAAGAAAGAAGAAAAGAGAACGAAGTTATAAAAACATTACAAGCCATAAAACAAAGATAATAATATATGTATTTTTATTCATTATATCTAATCTATAAATTAATTGGAATATCCCTTTAGTACAAAGTTTTGTTTTAAATATTACATTGTAAAATAGTTTCTTGAATTATCATATACTTGACTTATTTATTTAAAAAATCTTTTTCAAAGCGACGATTATATAGAATAATTAAAATTGTCTTGAGTAGGTTTTTGTTGAGGAGACATACTCATGTGTGTATATAAATTGGCTTATAAAAAAAATAGTCACTAAAATGGAAGAGTTATCGAAGAAGAAATTCTGAATTAATATTACAAGTAACGCGTTGGCTCTATGAGCCTCGTTTATCTCAATCCTGATAGTGGGAGAAATGATATGGTATTTTGAGGCTCGTAATCTGATTGGTCGATTTTTTCAACAAATCAGACGTCGGACAGGCAGACTAGCAACTTATGTTGTGCATAATCATCCTGTCAGGATTGAGAATAATAGATTTTTTTTCGTTAAGAAAAAAGGCGAAGAATACAATAATATCAATAGATCCATTGGATATTCACCCAAGTTCAAATTATGATAAAAATAATAAAGTTAATGATTGTGAATTTTAAAAACGTATTCGCCACTGATAGTTTAACGTCTGATTTTAAAATCTTATATAATTTACTACAAGACATTAAATATTTAGATGGTAATATACTGAAAAAAGTCATCTTATCCACAATTTCTCACGAAGAAATGAATGAAACACTATATATAATGATGTTCTTATATGGTTCTATCAAGGATATCTATTAATTTTTAAATATTTACTATATTCATCTATGCACTAAAGAAAATGATCCTATTCATAATCTTATATGTATTCCTGTTGAAAAAACGATCATGGAATATCAGTGACTATATATTATATATAAGATAGATCAAAAGGAAACATCATATTTACAATCTGTTATTGTAAAAGAAATTTATTTGAGAGTTATTTTCATAAAATTCTTCATATATACATGTTTAATTGATATTCTTATACCAATTATAAGAAATGATAGTTGATGTTCTAATGGCAACAACAAGATAAAGAAGAGATGCCCTCATATTTAAGTATTCATGAAAATGAACATCTAGAAAAACTAAACAGAAAAGAAAACTGAATCGTATTAAACACAACGCATTTCTAACAATAAATATTTTATTCTTTTTAATCTTTCTCAATGTAGTTTATGCAGCATTTGGTGTTATTCCCTGATTTTCTCTTTTTTTATTTTTCTAGGAAATTATGATCAATATTATGTCAAGCAATTTACGTCTGTATTTTATTCAACAGAGTTTTTACATTAATACCAAATAACTCTCTCGCATCTGGCAATATTCTGTTGACAGCTAACTTTAAAAAAAAGGAAATAAGATCTTTTTTTGTTATTGCAAATTTGACAACATTTTGAACTGTTTATTTAAGATAAAACTCGTTTTTATTTAATGGATACGAAGTAGAAAAATATATCTCATTCTCACATAATTTTTAATTATCTCACATATGAATAAATCAAACCTTTATTTTAACATTGTTTTATTTTGATTTAAATTGATTAATTAATAGAACATATTAAATCTCATAATTACAAAAATATTCAATGAGATAATTTATGTTTTCTACAATTAGATCAATACTGTGAAATGATCTTTGAAGAAAAAAGAATTTTTTTTGTGAATTTTAGATTGTAAAAATACTCAAGCTCGGATAGACCAACAACTATGAACATCAATAACAGAGTTGGACCTGATGAAGTAATGTATTAAATAAAAAAGAAATAATCTTATTTTCTTTTGAAATATTTTAGTCAACAGTAGTTAATCTTAATACGGCACGATTACGAACATTGTATGTATATATTATGAATTCCAATAAATTATTAAAATAATATCCTGTTTTAGACTTGAACATTTTCGAAAACGAAAACTAATTTGGATAATACTTTCCATTATTTTTATTGCTGCAATTATAATTATTCTAACAATTATTGTTACAGGAAACAAAACAAAGAAGGAAAAAACACCAACAATAGAGATAGCAACAGCAACAACAACAGAGATAACAACAGCAACAACAACAGAGATATCAACAGAAATATCAGCAGAGATAACAACAGAAATATCAGCAGAGATAACAACAGTAACAACGACGACGACGACGACGACGACAACAACGATAACAACAACAACAACAACAGCAACAGTAGCAACAACAACAATAACAACGACAACGATGACAAGTGGTATGATTTCGATGGAACTAGTTCGTTGCTTATATGAGATAAATTCATAAGAGATCGATTAGTTTTTCTTTATTCGTTCTTAGATAATTTATAGTCATGCATCATACTTCTATAAAATAATGTAGAAAGGTAAATGAGAATGTAATATCGAGTTTATAGTGCATCCATCAAAATCCACGTCTACATTCTCATAATTTATATGGTGTAACACAGAAATATAATGTTTAATGAAAACAAAATATGTTTTATTTTTAAGAAATAATTTATAAACTGAAAGAAAGAAAAAAATTCGAATTTTCTTTTTATATTTTATAGAACAATTAATTCCTCCTGTTGTCATTAGTAACAATACAAAATGGAAACAGAATGCAGTTACTGTTGCTGGAGGACATGGACGAGGGAATCAACTAAATCAATTAAATCTGCCTTTTGGTATTTATGTTGATAATGATGATGATAGTATTTATATTGCTGACACTGAAAACCATCGTATTGTTAAATGGGAATTTGGTGCGGACAAAGGTCAAATAGTTGCAGGTGGAAACGAACAAGGAAGTGGAATGCATCAGCTGAATTATCCAGTGGATGTAATTCTTGATAAAGAGAAGAAATATCTCATCATCTGTGATCATCGCAACATCCGAGTGATGCAATGGTCTCTTCAAAATAGCCAGGATCGACTAATATTAATATATCCTATCGTTTGTTGGGGTTTGGCAATGGATAATAATGGAGATCTTTATATTTGTGACTGGGGAAAACGTGAAGTCAGACGTTGGCGACAAGGAGATAAACAAGGTACACTTGTAGCAGGTGGGCATGGAGAAGGAAATCACCTTGATCAATTCTATGAACCTAACTATATTTTTGTCGATGAAAACCATTCAGTTTATGTAGCGGATTACAGAAATAATCGTGTGATGAAATGGATGAAAAATATGACTGAAGGCATTCTTGTTGCTCCAGGACAAGTTTCCAGCGAAAATCCTAATTCATTGTTTTATCCCAAAAGTGTGATTGTTGATCATATGGGTAATATTTATGTGTCAAATGGTCAAAGTCATCAAATAACGCGTTGGTCGTCAGGTGCAGTAGAAGGTGCTCCTGTCGTTGGTGAAAAGAATATAGGAAGCGGACCCACGCAATTCAAATATCCATCTGATTTATCATTTGATCGACATGGTAATCTTTATGTTGCCGATAGAGACAACCATCGAATACAAAAATTTTTTATTGATCTTGACTGAAATAACTTTTGACAAATAATCATTTTTTGCTTTTTTAATGTGTTTTCAGTAACAATAAATAAACTTCTTTTAAAAATAGAAATAATCTAATTTACCATTCATCTTGTAAACTAGTCTGTTCAGATTCCTGTTCTAATATCTAAAGCTTTTAATATTTTCTCTCTTTCTTCTATTTTTTTAAAGTAATTTATAGATACGCTACTGTTTCAATATCAATGTTTGCACGAACATTATTTTTTCAATTTTTTTCCTCATAAATGTGTTTCTTCACACCAAATTTTTGCAAACAGCATGCCACTGCGAAAAATAAATAAATGTGTTGAAAATAGAAACTTATGAAACATACCGACATGCATTGAGGTACCTAGTACGGTATCTCAAGGGTGTGGTCTTTACAAGAATTATTCATATGCAAACTAGAAAAATCTTGCAGCAGTCAATCGAGTGTTATAACATTACGTACTGGATGATTGGTGGATCTCTGGTTGGATCAGTACGTCACTGGGATATCATTCTTTGGGATCGAGATTTTGACTTTTTATACCTAAAACTAATAAAAAAAACTTCTTGGATGTCAATTTCCGATAGAGCAACATGAATTGCCTATGTATATGCGATCATTTAGCTTTAGACATGGACTAACAAAGACTTTTCCTGAATCGAAATCGAAAGTAATTCCGTCTACAAGACTTTATCCGTTTATTGATATATTTTACTACGATCAGAACAAAACTCATATTTGAGATCATAAACTTTGTTGTCATCATAATATTAGTAAATCTGCTGTATTTCCGTTAAGTATTCGACCACTTGGTTCTTTATTTCTTCCTGCTCCACGAAATCCACTCGGCTCTTTTCAAGAGTTGCATACATCTTGATTTTCTCATGTGGAAAGTGAATGTCATGTCAGAGGATATGCACCGAATATAATGAAGGTAATGTTCAAACCACCGATGATTGTAGAATGTAAAACTCTTTCTCGAACATATCCATTTGTACAGAGAAGAAAGAATAATATAGAAAGTCTTATACTTGATGAAAAAGTTATGAAACAATTATCTGGTACTACAATAGTTTGATTCTTTGTCGATGTGTTCATAAAAATTGTTTTTAAAAAAATATTTATATTTTATTTTGTTGAAGTGATTCTTTAATTTAACTATAAAGAATGTTTCGTTTTTCTTTTGATCTTCTTAAAATACAAAGTATTATTCATCACCGAGGGTGTGGATGATATGGAATGGACACACCCAGCGGTATTTCGTCCGGCTCGGTAAATATACAGTTAAAGTATGATCTAAGTTTAAGATCTTGACTAGATAAGTTGGAACGAATTGATAAAAAACAATAATCAAAACACATTTTATTATTCTTATAAGGTGTGAAATTATTTTGGTTTTTATTTTAATAAAAATTGAGAAAAATATTATAGTTAAGGAAAAAAAGTTAAAGTCAATTATTTGCCATTGAGATCCATAATGACAATTCAGCAACAGTGATAAACAATAATACAATAAGAAAGATAAAATAGTTTAAGGCGCTGCATCTACCTTCAATGTCTTTTTTATTTTTGCCTTTTGCCTTATCTTTATCGAAATCAGCTTGGCATGTCTCACATCTGTCGCAAAAGTCGCATGTTGGCTTCGGTTTCTCGTTTGTTTTGTCCATAGTTACAAGTTCTGGTTTGTCAACTAGCGTAAAGTAATGGTTATTTATTTTCGTAAGTGTATCATCTTTAACGAGAGAAGGCTGTTCTTTTTTTTCAATAGTTACAACTTTAGTATTCCATCGAAAACAAGAAGGTAATAGTTTCTGGCAAGAAGCACATTTTTTTTCTTGAATGATTGTTGCTTGTATACTTTCTTTATCTTCAGATTTTTTAAGTTCATCATTATTAACGATAACATCTTTTTTCTTGTCATCTTTGGGCGGTGGAAAGCAAAAAAGAAATACTTTTTTTTGCAATTGTCCAGCAAAAATATATAGGAATTTTGGCATTTCAGCTTTTGATATAAAATGGTTACATATGACAAACCATATCATTGATATTAATGTCCAACATATTGATAACATAAAGTATAATGTAATCATCATTAAATATTGAGATTGTTGTGGAAATAGATTGGAAAAGTTCAATGAATAAACAGAATAGGTCATAAAACATGTCATACCTAAAATACAAATACATTAAGTTCTATTTTGTATTCAAGAAAGGACAAGAATATTCTTACATAAACCAATTTGCGATCCAAAGGGTAATGTATATGATAACAAAGTAACACAATTTAATATCCAACATGCAAATATACCATTCATAATAAAATATAATGGTTTTCTTTGTAAATACAATTGTATTGTTATTACGTCATTATACGTATCTTCAAATGGTGTCCTATCTGCTGATCGAATTACAACCATATCTGTTCCATTCAATTTCCATAAAGGATGTTCAGTATATCCACTAATATCAATTACTGCAGTACTATTTTCTGTATATACTAGCCTACTGGATCCTTGACTCCATGATGTTAAACTGATGCTGCATACTTGTTTATCGAATGGAAAATATTGAACATTAAAATTACATCTTGTTTTTACCGTTAATGCGGGTAGTATCATATATACTTGGCCGGTGCTTTCAACAGATGCCAAACTATAAGTACTCACTGTGAGATAACCACTTGAATCTGCTGAATTCAATATCATTGTATCTGGTATCCATAAACTTGTAACTGGGAGCATAACTACATCAATATTACCGTTTGAACTAGGTGTCCATGATAATCGACTATCCACCCAAGTTTGTGAAATAAATGAACTTGTTGTCATTGTTTGTTGTTTTTCATCTATAGCCACAATTTGTTGTAGTGCAGCAGTGATATCAATAGATACTATAGTATTTGGTCTTATATTTTTATTGTACGAACTTAACAAGCCTGTTATCAGTGTTTGTTCAGTTGCTTGTGAAGCTGGTAGTGAACCACAATCACAAAAGTAGAATAAGTAGTTTAACAAGATAAAAAAAGCTACTAATTTGATCATTTTAAGGTATTTTATTCGAATACGACAAATCAAGATGACCTTCGAAGCAATGTTTCACAATAAATGTTTTGTTTATGCTGTTGAACGATGTTTCGGTGTAAAATCTACTTCAAACGTATGATTGTTGAAACTGTCTGAAAAAGATATTCACTCTAGTAGAAACTTTAATTCTCTTCAAGATGGGTGTAGATCTCAAGGGGAAAAACGCGGATTGCCGGTGGGTGTGGGTAAGCCCAGACTTAGATCCAGGATGAAAACAGTACCTGCTTCTCACTAATACTTACACTATTAAAAATCCCAAAAATTAGAAAAAAATTGAAAATAGAAAGAGTAGCAAGTACCCTTTACAGCTTCAGAGATCGATAACGTATAGGAATCCCAAATGGTAGCTTTTCCAATATGTGCAGCGAGAAATATTGAATTTTCCAGATAACATCCGGTACTTCTGCTAGTCTGTGTAAAAGATTAGGTCGTTTGCAGAGCTCAAACACAATTCAGACAGCATCTGTTCTTAACTAGAGCGATATGTTCCTAAAATACATTATCAAAGGCATAAGAAATCCTAATATTTTTAACCTATAAACCAGCAGACAAAATTTTAAGGCACATTTAGTTTTTTAGCTTTTTCTCATGAAAGAGTACTTACTACTGACATACAAACAGTGATTTCGATAGCTTTCAAAATAGCTTACAAATCTGCGGTGATAATATACTTTTAAGTTTATTCATTCAAGTTCTCATCATACACATTATTTCGTTCAGATATCCACGCTCTTCTCTTCCTAATCATGTACTTAAAAGATTGAAATTCAAATAAAAATTCTCGTGACGTGTTACTTAATACTGATTAACTTCAACTAATGATTTTCAAAAAGTATTTTTCATCAAAATGTAACCTATAGAATTCTGCATTGAATAGTATATAAACGATTTATATGATAAAAAACTCAGATCACTGAACTAAAAAGTACATTAGGAACGCAAATTTGTTCTGCTTTTCAAGGGCTGTTGAAATCACTGTTTGTATGTTACTCATGTGCTTTTTGGCAACGAAAGCTAAAAAACAAACGTTACCTTAACATTTTGTTTGCCACCTCAGCTTGTTGTAGTATGTGTCTTCGATTGAGAAAAAAACGGAAAATGAATGCATGACTTCGCTCAAAGAGAGAAAAAAATTTCTCACTTTCTCTTTTATTTTTCTTTCGAACGTTTTTTGTGTGAAGAAGATCTTGGCTTTTTACATAAGAGAGTAGAAGGAAAGAAAGGAAAATAAATTATACATATGAGAGAAAAGACAAAAACATGACCCTCTTGAAGCCGTGGGTTGGTATGTCAGTGTTAGTGATATACTTATTTTATGTTCTGGTGTACCCTATATTGTAGACCTTATCGAAATACCCATATGCATCAACTTTGGGCATTACACGATATCAGAAGCCTTTTATTTTGAAATCGATAATAGTGCTATCAATTCATATTTATTTTTATTTTCTACATATTGAACAGAATCTTTACATCGATTATTACATTGTCATTATTTTTTTAAATAAAATCAGAGAAGCAAATAAATAAATGCCATAATAATCGGAAACTACAGTATTTCGAAATGAAATTTGGATCAAAAGGGAGAAGTACATCATTTTTTATTCTGAATATGAAGAGTGATAACAAATTGAGAATATTATTTGAAAATTAGATATGATATAAATACACGTCATTGTATGGAACAAAAGTTTATATCTGATCTAACAATTCCGTTACATATATTCTTACGGCGACTAGCAAGAGAAGAATGGTCATATCAAATACCAGCATTTCTTCAGATATCGAATCACTGAAGGAATTGCGCACAAAAAATATTCGATTGTGCTGAATGTTACTGTTGCATGTGCTCTTCCATTAAAAGTATTTATCAAGCTGAGTGTTACTTGCAACGCAGTATTCTTCACTTTCATCCA